CATAATGTTTTATTTTATTTAGAATTTAGGTTTTCGCAAAAGTTTGGATTTATTAGTTGCAATTTAGATTTCGCCATGAACTAACTAACATCAGTTAGAGGACACTGGAAATCAGACAGTAGTACTGGACAGCTGTTTCGTTCTAGTTTGTGACTCTTCAACACTGCCTACCCAGAACCTTCAGGTTACTACACCAAGCTCTTTAATCACTTAGTCACTAGGGCCAGAACCCAATAATCTTTCAAATCTAACTTAGTCAATTTGTGCTATACTTGTTACCAGTCTCACGAGTCCCTTCGATTAGTGTTTTCTTCATTTTAACATGGTAGACCCTAACGGTCACAACTTCTTAGTACAACTTCAGAACAACCATCCAGTGTTTTAATTGGTGGATGGTGACTAGCAGTGGAATCCAGGATGCGCATTTCGTCCTATTTGGGACTCGTCACTGGATGTTCCTGCATTTCTCAGTGAGTGATGTTATTACCACCGAGGCTCGAACCCAGTGCCCATAGTTTCAAACGCCAAAGTGTTATCCAATAGACCACTTGGGCCACGAGAGCCACCTCTTGTGTCCCAAATAGGACGAAATGCACTGCTAGTCACCATCCACTAATTAAAACTAATTAAATGCACAAGAAGCCGACATGTCAACCTGAGACCGAGCGCTTCGGTCCAATCAGTCGACGGGAAAATCTCAAATTCATTTAAGCCATCCATTTTTGTTTCTTGACACATTTTTATAAAAATAAGAACTTTCAGAATAATAAAAATACGAATAAATTGGTGGAATACTTGGAAAAATTCAACGGATTCTTTAGTCCTCTTCTGACTTAAACTTCTGCGGAAGTTGAGTTGAAGCATTTTTGTGGGAGAAATGTATCTGAGGTTTTATGATCAGGTCAATAAAGCTACTATACACATTAGTTTATCTAGCAAGGTGTGTTTACAACACTGAAGATACTCACTGATTATACAGTTTATGGCTAAATACATCAGGAAATGGACATTAATGCTGATACATTTTAGTGTCCTTGGAATTCGTGGGCGATAACCTGGTAAAAAATAAAGAAAATGTGTGCTTCTACCTACCACGATAAGAGATGGTTAATACTAGATGACATAACCCGTATTTTTAATAGATTTCCATCTTTATTAGATTATTATTTGTCAAAACTTAATATTCCCTACAAATTGTGACCAAATGAAACTTGGAAATTCAAAGGGACTTTTATTTATTTTTGGTGGTAAGGTGTTTTCTGGTCATTTCACTATCTAACTAGGGTATACTGTTTATTAAAATGAATAATAATAATGATAAAATAATTTTTTCTTCACGTTCCCCAGTGGAACATAGGGCTTCAAGCTACAAGCTTCAAGTTTCTGTAGCAGTGTTTATTTTACAGGATGGGGTTGCTAGCCACATGCCCAACCTTTCCTCTTTACCGCCATTATTTCTGGCTCAGCGACGTGAAGGAGTGCCTCCATGGCCACGGATCAAACCCCGGACCATGCCCATGGTCGGTGAGCGTCCTAACCGCCATACCACCGACGCACAGCTGACTTTCATGATTACTATTTATGGTATCAAGTAGATCACATATTGTAATCTGGAAGATTTTGGTTTACAAAAGAAATTGCAGTGAAGTTTCACTTCGATCTGTGTCAATTGAAAATCGTGCTTTAGTTTGAAAGTGTGAATTTCATTCATTGGCCATTTGTTCAGCTCTTCTTTGTTGGTTATTCTTCTAGATTCATTCATCAGAGAAAATGTTCGAATGTCTTAATAGGTAAAGTGACAAAGGTGACTATTATTCAAGTATTGGTTTTGTAGGGATTTGACTGATTGGTTATAGGATTCCATCATGAGATGACATCAGGTTGGAGAACCATTTGGAAACCCACCGAGGAGTATTGGACAGCCAGTTGTTTCGTCCGCATAGTTTGGTACTCTTCGGCAGCACGCACGCACCCACCAACGGAGTTGGGACAACAAGCTTATTTATTAAATAAGCCTACTTTTAGATTTCATAGGTGATTACTGCTCATTTGGGGTGCAATTAATTAGTTATTAATGAATGATTCTATCTCAACTAAGAGTTATCTTAAAGGCCCATCTTTTGCATTGAGAATAATTTAAACTGGTAGGATTCAAAATGTAGTTTACCGATTAGGATCAATATCCTATAGATCAGGAGACCTGTTTAAACACTTGCCGAATGAATTAAAACATCCGGTTTTCTGTTCTTCATAATATATTATAGTCTCTCTCTTTCTATATATATACTGTCACGAACTGACAGAAGTTGGATTACACGGGTCATTGACCCCCGGCCTAACTGGCTGAGTGACCAACCAGCATATGGTGGTAACCAGCAGGTTCTGAGTTTGATCCCTGGTGGGGTCGTGAGTGTGCATCGCTGAAGCTGTCTGTCTGTCTGCCTGGATTCAACATAGAACTTGGCACCAAAGTGCGGCAGTTCGACTTGCCATTGCTGAAGAGTTACAGACTAAGACGAAACACCTGCCCAATACACCCTGATTTTCAATGGTATCTAACTAATGGTTGGTTTGTAAAGAAATCTCCATTAAAAATATTATCTTCAGTTAATTTTACTAGAATTATAACAAACAGAATTTACCCAAATCAATATTTTTAAAAAAATCATAAGTGGAAGATTGTTAAATCCATTTAATTGTTAAGTATTGGTTTTGTAGGGAATTCGTTTGATTCCATGGAGGATTTCATCATGAGCTGACATCAGTTAGAGAACCAGTGGAAAACTTGCAGGGAGTACTGGACAGCTGTTCTTTAACTGATGTCAGCTCATGATTAAATCCTCCATGTAATGCATTATTCTTAGTTTACTAGAGAATACAAAATAATATTTTCAAAAAAGCGAAAATAGCTTGATTGCTAACTTCCTGTTGATCAACTACAACTTCATTAATTAAACCACAGTGGATTGGAAGTCAAAGAAAGTCTTTTTTACTCCAAACGTGACCAACAATTTATGTCAGTAAAAAGTTTGAGCATTGTGGAATAGATCAAATGAATTATAATTACATTTCAATAGTTTACACGCAGTAATAACCCCAGGCAGTTACCTGGGTTCTTGTAGGAAGTAGTGACAAGTAGGATACACCAAATGGGGTGTGAGGATAAATATTCCCTGAAGATATTGGCTAGTGGTCCTGCTATGTCGTGAATTGGCAGAAGTTAGAATTCATGACATGGTCATTGAATCAGGTCCTAGTGGCTTGATGGTATACGAGCTCGCCTTGTAACCAGAAGATCCTGGGTTCGACCCCGTTAGTGGGTGGATGCGTACTGTGAAGAGTTACAAACGAGGGTGAAACAACCGTCCAGTACTTCCAGGTTTTCCAATGGTTCTCTAATCAATGTCAACTCATAATGAAATCCTGTAACCAATCAGTCAAATCCCTACAAACCAATAAATACTTGATAAGTTTTGTTGGTGCGATCACAGGCAGTAATTTTTCTCGGAATATTACCAAAAACAAAAACTTATCATTGTGTGTACATTATTGAAATATAATTATAATTTATGCAGCCAACAATATTTGGTTTGGTACTCACAATTTTAACAAAACAAAAGAAAAGTAATTCTCAGCAATGAAATTACAACTTGTGCGGTAACTACATTTATCATAATATAAGTATTGGTTATTAAAACCGTATAAAGTTTTTACAAGATTGGCATTTAAGCGATAGAGACGAAACAATATCCAAGATGTGTATTCCCCGAAAACTAGCAAACCTAAGGAGAATAATTTGTATCCTTCCGGGTGACTGAAAAGGCTATGTGTATATTCTTATGATGGTATTGTGAACTATGGAAAGAGACATTTTATTAGGAATGAAAAAGTTACAGAGAATAGGACGCTCGCCCACTATGCACATGGTCCGGAGTTCGATCCCGGGCCACTGGACGCACTCCTTTACCTCGCTAAGCCAGAAATAAATCTGGCTAAGAAGAAAGGTTGGGCATGTGGCTAGCAACCCCATCCTGTAAAATAAACACTGCTACAGAAACTTGAAGCTTGTAGCTTGAAGCCCTATATTCCACTGGGAACGTGAAGGAATTAGTAATAATAATATAATGGCTGAATTATATTACTTAACCTTGTAGGGTGTGGTCATTGAGGCAGGTAGCTTGCCACTCTGAAATGATGTTAGATCTGTTGAAGGCTATTGGCTGGAAGCCTTGGATGTAGGTTTCGTGTTTGTGGGCACTTTTCGAGATGGGAACTTATGTACCTTCTGAGATTCGAAAGTTACATTTGCAAGGTCGACAAGTTTTAAAAACCAATATGGCTTCGCATTTAGTTAGGCAAAATGTATTTCATAGGGAATCTGATCATGATTTTATCTAATAGTTTCACAAACCTTGGGCTCCAAGGTTTATACATATTTACTTTCTGGGCATATGAACATCGTGTATTCTTATTAATCAAAAAAAACAAAATTTAGAGTTTCGATTTTCTAATACTTACTCATAAGAATAGATATTGAACAAAGAGTACTCCTTTCGATAAATTCATCATCAGGCTCTACATTTATGCATACATTATTGTGAATGAATGAGTTAATGTTATGAACGACATTAATTGCGATTCACCTCAAACAACCAGCACTCTGTGTCCAAAAGAAGCAAGTCCAGCCCCTACTATTGCCTTGGTCGGTCTTCAGTAGAGACTATAAATTCATGAATTTGTAATATTATCTTTCCTAATTTACCTGTCTGACATTCAGCTTACTTTATGTTGATGCTATTGAGCTGTAATCTATCAATATTATTGATTCGATGTTATTTAAACAGCAACATTAATGTTGTTCATAACACTAATTCATTCATTCATTAACTATAATGTATATATAACTGTAGAGCCTGATGATGAAGGCGTTATCGAAAAGGGTACTCTTTGTTCAGTATCTATTCTTTTGAAAATTTTAAAGAGCATTTTTAATCACTTACTCATAAATCCACTTTTCACTTGTTATTTTATTTCCTTGAGCACATAATATACATTATCCTGGTTTTTGTTTCATAAAAACGAAAAAATGTGATTGAAGAAGAAAGGTGCTCAGATTCATAGGTATTTTGTTGTTATTGTTATGGTCCTTATTTTGATTACCAATCAATTGATGTACTCAAATGTTCATTTTGACTGTCTAGATTTGTCGAATTCTTTCTTTTGCTCATAAAGCTGATAATAATATGATAGTGGCAATAATCTTTTGAGCGACGATGGAAGTTATTGCAAAACAAACTTGCCGAGCTTTTCGGAAACGATCAGTTACAGTTTTAATCTTTTCAGGTAATTGTATTCCGTGTAGTCGTATCAGAAATTGCGTTTGCCTTTTGTAATGGGATATTTTACTTTTTACTCTGCTGGAATATCTGTTGTGGTGTTTGCTATACAGCGCGTGAAAACATCTCACATTGGCCTATATCCTCACCCTAAAATTTGTATACAATAAAAAATCTCTTTTCTACTACTATAAAGTAATACTTCGTTTTCATTGGGCGATAAATTAAGAAATACGCATCATTTTATTATTTGTCCAATCAGAAATTAGTATTCGAAGTTTTAAAGGCATTTTTATTGTAGGTTTGTGTTATTCGATTGGTTAACATTAGAATGTTTATGTAGCAGTTTAAAGCACTTATATTTAAGACGTAGAGAGAATTGTCTGCATGTAAAGAAAAATATTACATTCCTGTTCCCCTTAACAATAATATTTACCAACTGAAAGGTCTCTCTTTCACACTTACGACCATTAATTAATATTGTGCAATAATTAGTATATAGACTAACTGAAGAATTGATGGCAAATACTTAAGGCCATTTGAAGACTTAAAATAAACGTCATTTCGTCAAGTTATTCAAAAGACATAGGACTATGCGTGGATTAGTATTTAGGTACATTTATTCTGAGGTATTTGAATAGCGTAGCAACTTGTCATTTAAGTTCAGTTCTATTTGAAAATCACAGGTGCAACATTCCTGCAGCAGTTTAGTTTTTCTCACTGAGTCTGGTATGTAATTGACTCCCCCTTGCTTCTTTTAAACCTCTCACCATTGTTTATTTGTTTATTTTTTTTATTACAGCTTGATTCCACACCGTATCTACACCGTTTATATACCTTTATAATGACTGTCACCTGGTGATTTTCTTTAAATTAAATTGACCATCTATTTAAAAGTGGAAAAGGGAAATTCAGTTTTATTTCTATTTTCTAGTATGCGAAATTTTGCATACAATATTTGTCCAGATAAGGAGAAAAGAGGAATTATATAACAATTTCTATAGTTTGGTTTGTAAGAGTTAGTTATGTTTTTACGAGTTGATCACGGATTGATATCAGTTAGAGAACCATTGAAAACCAGCACTGGAGTACTGGACAGCGGCTGTTTCATCCTAGTTTGGGAATCGTCGGTAGTACGATGACTGACTAACCCTTACAAGCCAAACTATAGAAAATTAATCTGATGCTAGCTAGTGATTTGCTACAGGATGGAGTTTCTTTGAGTTCTAGTGAGAAGTCGTGACCAGCGAGGTCCATCCAGATGTCATGTGTGAGGATAGATGTCCCACCTATGGCAATGATTGGGTTCGCGCTAAATCACGAATTGGTAGAAGTTAGAATTCATGGACTGGTCAGTGAATCGGGTCCCAGTGGCTAAATGGTACACTAGCTCGCTAGTCCTGTAACCAGCAGGTCCTGGGTTCGAACCCCGTAGTGTGGGTGCGAACTTCCGATGATTTCCGAACTAGGATGAAACAGCCGCTGTCCAGTACTCCAGTGCTGGTTTTCAATGGTTCTCTAACTGATATCAATCCGTGATCAACTCGTAAAAATATAACAATTTTACCAATTGGATAGTGATCGGTTAGACTGAACTGATTGACAATTATTGACTTCTTTAGTCGTTAATATAACGTATGACCTAGACAGCACATCTTAAGACTGTTTATACTAGATAGGGAGCAGCCATTCAAAAGGGTACTACATGTTGCTGTTATGGTAAACTGCGTAATAAACCTTTTCACCAACTAGCCTAAATCAGTCCTCACTTGAAGACGAACAGTTGGGTGAACAGATAGTCTAATAGGATGCTACAAGTTTCCTGCTAATTTTGATTAAGACGACTTAAGATTTAGTAAACCTATGAATTCAGGACGGTGATATTGCTTCACAGCTGTCAGTTACAGAAAACTCTATCAAGGTTCTTGCTTTTGACATCTCGTTTTACTCGAATTATATGATCCTCTTCTTTTCTGCCTTATTACTTTTTCACCTATAGGTGTATTCAACAGTAAGAAGACGTAATTTGTCTGAATCGTGTAATATTGTATTTGTGCAACACATTTCGAACAATCTGATCATGCATGGACTTGTCATAGGAATATATATGAAATTAATAAAGAGGTAAGAGGTAAGGGCTTCAGAGCATATTTCTAAATGGCTCTAGAAACAAAGGAATCTTTAGAACCCATTAATGGTGAGAACAGGAGACCTTGCTCTTCTATCGCGAAACATATAATAGAGACAGGACATAAAATTGACGCCAACACATCTTTTAAACCCGTCTATAAAACGTGTTTGGGGCGTATCCTAAAGTTTGTAAAAGCCCTAGCTGGCAATTAGAAAGTTTAAACCACCTTCATGCATCCAAAAACAATTCGTCATCACACTAAACCTTCCTTGGTAAATTTTGCTTTGATACCATAGCACATGTACTACTATCTCTGCTATTTGGTTTAGTGGTCTTTATTGTTATTTTGACCTTGAATATGTCCTTTTAACTTGAACTAAGTCTATTTTCTCACCTCTTACCTCTTTAATAATTTCATATATATTATTCCTATGACAAGTCCGTGTGTGATCAGTTTGTTCGAAATATGTTGCACAAATGCATAACACGACTCGGACGAATTACGTCTTCTTATGGCCTTATCTAAATTCAATAAGGGAACTAATTATTGAATTGAATGTTTGATTTTCCCGTCGATTGATTGGACCGAAGTGCTCGGTCTCAGGTTGACATATCGGCTTCTTGTGCAGATGCTTCGACGATGTCCGGGTATTTAGTTAGTATACAATTGGTGGATGGTGGCTAGCAGCGGAATCCAGGATGCGCATTTCGTCCTATTTGGGACTCGACGGGAAAATTGAAAATTCAATTCAATAATTAATATGACCCGTTGCACAAGAGGTGGCTCTCGTGGTCCAAGTGGTCTAGTGGATAACGCTTTGGCGTTTGAAACTATGGGTACTGGGTTCGAGCCTCGGTGGGAACATCATCACTCACTGAGAAATGCGGGTACATCCAGTTGACGAGTCCCAAATAGGACGAAATGTGCATCCTGGATTCCACTGCTAGCCACCATCCACCAATTGTATACTAAGGGAACTAACTGTTTTAAAAGTATTCAACAATATTTTAAATTAGAAAAAACTATGCAGTGGAAAATGGAATTAGTTCTGCGTGCGTGCGTGCGTGTGTGTGTCATACTTCAAAGATGACTTCAATATAAAACAACTTTAGATTTCTGCTATAGTATTTCCTTCTTTCAGTATATGATAATCAGAAATCTATTAAAATATTTAAAAAATCACTTTAGTTACTGACAACTTTTAACAGATGTGTCGTTTCAGCATCCGATCATAGTCATGGATCATAGTCTTCAAAATATACTAACTACTTCTGAATCCATATGACTACAGTGGACATTATTATTAAATGGTTGGAGGTAATTGGCATGAAGTCTTGTACCTAGGTTTCGTGCTTGTGATGATAGAATTCATTCTGCATCGACCAAAGGATTAGATGCTTGTCACTAGTTACTACTTACTGCCCAATCAGAGTACATTAGGAATGTTTCAGCAAATTGACTACTTTCGGTAGAGATTCTATGAATACCTCGCTTACCGTCCATATAACCAAAAAGTTGTTAAAAATTTTAATGAAATTATCTGGATGCAGGTGTTGGTCTCTAACGTGATTCATCTACAATTTTTTACGATGCTAATTGAAGTCAACTGATGATGATGATGAAATCCCCCAATCAATCAATCAGACAAAATCCCTACAAAAGCGCAATACATGAAAATTAATCTGATGCTCACTAACGACTGGACGAATTCAGGTGGTTACCTGGGGTTCCAATGGGAAGTCGTGACTAGTAGGGTGCAGCAAGTTGAAGGTGAGGCAGTAATTCATCGAAGAAGACTTTGAAAAGGTGCTGTGCTATGTCAGGAAGCGTATATCCGAAGTAGTGAAAAAGAGGGTTAAATGCTTGAGAGAAATCTGTATGAAAAATACAAACTTACTAATAATAAACAAGACATGTTAAACAATAAAAAGTATTTATAATTAGGACACAATACGTCGGTGGTGGCATAGCGGTTAGGACACTCGCCATCCATGCACATCGTCCGGGGTTCGATCCCCGGCCACTGGACGCACTCCTTTACTCGCTAAGCCAGAAATAATCCTGGTGAAGAGGAAAGGTTGGGCATGAGGCTAGCAACCCCATTCTGTAAAAATAAACACTGTTACAGAAACTTCAAGCCTCTAGCTTGAAGCCCTATATTCCACTGGGAATGTGAAGGAAAAAAAAATAATTAGGACACGAATATTACTCTGACCATGGTAAGTAAGGTCACTTAGTAAGTTCCCTGCTTTGGAAACAGAAATGAGGCTTATAATATCAAACATTCAGTGGCTCCTTGCATGTATAAATGGTCTATTTGGAGTTATCTCGTGCGACGGTGGGGCAACTCTATAGACCAGTGTGAAGCAGCTGTACACGGGTGCTCGGTGCTGTTAACAAGCTGCTAAAGAACTGTGCTCCTGACATTCTTTTTCTCTGCTTTGGATAATCAATTATTCTTCCTCATTTCCCATTACTAACACTACTACTAGCAGTAGTTATAACGATTTTTTATTAATATTACCATTGTTATGATAATAAAATTCGTAGAACAATAGACAGCATTCACAGTCATAAAGACTGACTATGGAATATCACTAATCATGAATACCCGGTTGTTGTTTGTTACACTCCGCCCATAAACACTTCATTTGTTTTACTTACACTCATTCTCTTATTGCATTAATACACTTCTTCACTTCAGCCTTCCCACCTACCTACCTACCTGCTTTCATACTTTATCTATCTATCTATCTACCTATCCAACTAACTAAAAGCCTAGATAGAGCTATCCAACTTATTCATCATTTACTACTTGTTTACCTGGGGTCAGTACATTTTAGAATTAATTTACATCAGATTTTTGGGCGGTACACAATATCTGTTGTTTTTTATGTATGGTCATAAAACTTTGCGTCTGGAATGCATTTTTATTATCATTATCATTATTCCTGCCTTTGTTTTTAGTAGTATTTGTTAGTAATCTGATCATCTTTGTACTACAAAAGAAAGT